GAATGTTCAGAGCCTCCGCCATGTGCAAAATCTCCGCCTCCACCTCCTGATTGTTGACGGAGTCCGCGCCGTACAGTCGCGTTGGCTCCCGCGACATCGGGACAAGAGCCTGCGCCAGCACAGGCATACCCCTGTAAAAAAACATACTGGATAGCGGCACAGCCAAGAGGCGAGTGCGGCTTTGCAGCACACCGCGAAGTGACGCCACGTAGTTGCGTCCCGAGCGACTGTCCGGTAGGAGGCGGAAAAATATGTTGTCTACGCGGTAGCACTGCAGGAACTTGGGAAGCTCCCGCGGCCCGTCGTCGTCAAGCATCACAATTTGCTTCACAGTCTGCGTGGCCTCGGCTACAAACTCGCGTTCGACGCGACGCAGCTGCTCCATGCGAACCTCCGCCTGCGAGATTGTGCTGTCCTCCATCTCCCACGCCAGCTGGAACTCGGCATTCCAGTCCCGGCCGCGCCGCGTGATATCTGCGCAGGAGGAGAGAAACGGTTTGGGTGCTGTCTGCTGCATGGGGAACGCCGCCGACTTCCTAATTGAGAGACGGTGCCGCGACGCCTCTAGCATAGAGACACGCCGTATGAGCGAGTGGTGTTGTGAGGCATTGCTGGTCATGGGTGACATGGAGGAGCGTGACCGCCCCGAAGTGGAGCGGAGGATTTGGGTTTCAGAGGTAAACACGACATTCTGCCTCTTGTCATGCCGTGCGGTCTCTGTGGACTGCGAACGACGCATCTTACACTGCGCTCACACCCAACCCACACACGCACTTCACACTTCCCTCACGGGAGGGTTCCTTCTTTTCTTTCTTTCTTTCCTTGCTTGCCTTTGCCTTTGCTTCTGTTGTTCGTTCTCAAAGTACCTAAAAACTTTACAAGACGAGCAAAAAGGAAGCAAAGTGGGAACATGTGCGGCCAGCACGGTCCGGCTGGTGGTCCTCCCCGGTCCTCGCACGGCGCCGCAGCGGGCTGCACCTGCCGCCGGGCATTCCCACACACCCCGCCCAGCTTTTTATTTTTATTTTTGTTTTTGAAAAACAAAACAAAACACGGGATGCGGGTGGTGGGCAAAATAAAACACTGAGAAAAAAAACAAAGAATAAAGCACCACGCGCACGTATGCGGCGTCAGCGCTCATCAAAGGCAGTCCCTCGTTTTGCAAAGTAGGTAAACAAATAATACATCTTTTGGCTCTCCGCCTCACTCACTTGAAGACACCGTCACTTTCGGCTTCCCCACTAATTTTATATTTATATTTATAGGCGTTTTTGTTTTGACTGCCCGTTTGTGTAAATTTCGGCGACGGGGGCACAGTTAACGCTCATGGCGCACGCCTCGTTGGGCCACCGATGGGTGAGCGGATGTCTACGCACGGCCGTCCCCGGTGCCAATTCCTCCCACACTCACTCAGAGAGAGAGAGAGAGAGAGGCGCGGTGAAGACAAACAACGCCCCACGGCGGCGGCAGGGGTGAGAGGACAGCATGGGTGAAGCCAACGCACAGAGGCGTAAGCGCCTTGCTTCCCATCTTGCAAGTGCGCATGTGCGGGGGAAGGAAAATGATGGAACTGGAAGTCAGCCATAAAAATCCGCGTGCGGCGGGCGAGAGCAAGACAACGGACGTATAAACCAAAGCAGAACCCCTAAAAGCAACCAATAAATAAATAAAAAGTAATAAAACAAATACACACAAAAGGTAAAGAAAGGCAGCATGTATGCATATACAAGATGTTATGGTCAATATGAGCTGTCCGCCATCAAGTCACTGGGGCAACAAAAGTTTCTGCTGTGCGGTCCCGACATGGACCTGAGGAGCGAGTCACAGTGGGGCCCGTACTTCACCAAATTTCAGGCACGGCACACGTTGATGAGGTCATGCAGTAGGACCTCAGCATCCAACACCGAGCGAGACACTCTTCGAAGCATCTTGAAGTCAACGTGAAGCATCCTTGACGCCCGCTCGTACTTCTCTTCGCAGAATAGCTCCATGCCTAGCTCCCATAGGCACTCCACAAAGTAGTCGGCAGATGTCACCCACACGCGCTAGCTATCCTTGGCATCCAACGCCATTTCCGTCAGATCTATGGACGGCTTCGGCCACATCATCTGCGTGCAGCGGAGTATTCCCATGAAGAGACGTATGTAGAGCCAAGCACTGAGTTTACTGCGAATCCCGGCGGGCACTAACTGCGTGGCCGTCCTAAGCTGCTGCAGTGCCTCAGCCTTCAAGTCGATAATATCAGACGCAGCTAACAGCCAGCATGCGCACTCAATGCATTGCCGCATCTGTGTGAGCGCCCCCGCCTCTTCGTCAAACCCCGCTAACAGCTCCTCCATGTACTTGCGACCGTCGAAAATAAACTTCAAATCATCTCTGCCCAGTAGTATTTCGCAGATGTCGCGTAGGGCGTAGAGGTAAGACAGGCGCAGGTACCCGTGCCGGGAAGTTCTCCGCTGCGGCAACCTTGACTGCACCACTGCACCACCGTATCCAATTTACCTTCCCAGTACGCCACCTTCGACTGCAGCGGCAAACAAAAGGACGTACAAATGAGAGGGCCACGTCTTCGTGAGACCGTATTGAAAAACAAGTGAGTGAATGGTGTTGGGGTCCAACAGCAGAGGCGCAGCGCTGGTGTGAAGCTTCAGTAGCCACGTAAACCTGCCCCTCCGCTGAGCCTCATCCTTCAACTGGGCCAGCACGTCAAGCACAGGCAGGGCCCCCACGACGGAAAATACGTCCTCGGGTCCAGGTTTCACAAAGAGGCAATAAACAAGCATCTCCTGCCGCTTTGGTGGGGGTTCCACAAAAACACCTCGGTAACATCTATTGTGGTGATATTCGTCGCCATACATTACCAACGAGCATCCAGCCCCTCATACACCTCAGATACAATTAAATTTGGCAAAGGAATGTTCAGAGCCTCCGCCATGTGCAAGATCTCCGCCTCCACCTCCTGATTGTTGACGGAGTCCGCGCCGTACAGTCGCGTTGGCTCCCGCGACATCGGGACAAGAGCCTGCGCCAGCACAGGCATACCCCTGTAAAAAAACATACTGGATAGCGGCACAGCCAAGAGGCGAGTGCGGCTTTGCAGCACACCGCGAAGTGACGCCACGTAGTTGCGTCCCGAGCGACTGTCCGGTAGGAGGCGGAAAAATATGTTGTCTACGCGGTAGCACTGCAGGAACTTGGGAAGCTCCCGCGGCCCGTCGTCGTCAAGCATCACAATTTGCTTCACAGTCTGCGTGGCCTCGGCTACAAACTCGCGTTCGACGCGGCGCAGCTGCTCCATGCGAACCTCCGCCTGCGAGATTGTGCTGTCCTCCATCTCCCACGCCAGCTGGAACTC